CTGCTCGGAGACGAGGCTGAAGTGCCTGTCCCCGAGCTTCCACCTGCAGGCAGAAGTGACTGTCGTCCTCAGCACTTGGAGCAGACCCCCACGAATTCCACCCACACTGCGCTCTGCTCCAGAGGCAAGAGAGGTCTGAGGCCCCTTCCAGCTCAACAGGCTGTGACTGAACTTCAGGGCTTGGGGACACCGCCTGCCCTGCTCTTCTCATCCCCAGACACCTCCACCGAAGCATCTAGAGTCATCCTGACCAAATACCTGGGTTCTAAGGCTGAGCCTGGTTCACATATAGGTGTCCCTTCACAGTGCCTGCTCGTGTGTTCTGAATTGCCATCTGTCCCCTCTGCACACACGTGAGCAGTCACTAGCTGATGTCACAGCCCTGAACCAGTGCTTGAGGTGAGGGATCAGAGTTGCTGGTGGTCACTGAGGTGGGCAGCACTTAAGGCCATAAGGAGTGGAGCACAGGAAAGAGAGCCCTGACCATGGAGAGCTGGCACGGTCCAGGGGCACGAGGTCCCATGGGGCTCCAGGCTCTGGGTGCTGTGTGGTGGGGCACCCAAGGGAAGGGCTGGGGCAGTGCAGTGGTCAGGCCTCCTGATCTGCAGAGTATCGGTTACCTCTGTCGAGGTCTCAGGCCTGCTGCTTCCTGTTAACCCCACTGCAGGCCCACCCACCCCAGGACCCTGGCTCCTCTCTGGCAGTGTGGCAGGCAGCTCTGACACCAGCCAGCTGCCCCCAGCCCTGCTGGGCTCTCTCCTGCCCATCTTTCCTGGGTGAGCTCCTTGGCCTCTTGTCCTGGACCTGCAGGACACAGGGAAGCAGCTCAGCCTTCGTGAGGTCCTTCATCATAACCCTAATGGCGACCCTCCAGGGGCATTATCTCTGCTCTTTCTCCGAAGCTGCTCATTGGAGGGAAATAGTGAGCTCGGGCTGCCTGCAGGGCTCCAGCTCGGCGGACACCCTGAGGATGAGGGTGGCACATGGCCTACAGCATCAACGCCATCCATGGGCAGGGGCAGAGCTCTGCAGAGTCCAGAGGTGCAGGGCTGTGTCCCTGCAGGAGCTCAGACTCACTGTGAGGCCCCTGCTCACAGTCACACAGGCCACCTGCCTGCTACCAGACGGAGCTACCTGGCTGCTGTCAGCCGGGCAGGAGTGAGGGGGTCGTGGATAACCATGGGCCTCCAGCCCTACTGGGCAGGCTCTTTTCTTCAGGACGGTCTTGCCAGCCTCACAATTTATCCACCCCCTGCCACCCAGATATAACCCCTGGTGGGAAGCCCTGCTCTGGTGGCTGAGTTGTGTCCCCCAAAGATCTGATAAGTCCTGGCACCTCCGGACACGACCTTGTGTGGAGACAGGTCTGTGCAGAGGTAGTGAGGTGAGGCCCTCTAGGGTGGGCACCAATCCAGTGTGACTGGTGTGCTTGTGACCCAGGAACCGTGGACATAGATGCCCACACAGGGCAGCACCGTGGGAAGACTGACAGAGAGAGGCCCAGGCAGAGCCTTCCCTGCTCCCTTGGAGGGAGCCCGCCCTGCTGACACCTGGTCCTTGGGCTTCCAGCCTCTAAACATCCAAGACCACGAGCTTTGGTCCCGCAGCTGCGCAGCTGCCCACTTGGTGGCTCTTTGCTAGGGTGGCTGTGCTTGTTGTTATAGATGATGCAGTGGACGTCTGCGGAGATGAAATGCCTCACCAGGGCCACACAGCCAGCACTTGGTGCAACCAGTCCACACCCAGGTGCAGGACGTTGACCGCAGAGCACCTCCTATCCCCTCTCCCCGCCTCTTCTTCCACGTCTGACTCATCCCCTAGTGTTGGGGACCCATCCTGGTGGCTTCCTCTCAGCCCACAGCCACCCTGGACCAATGCCTGCCTGATGGCCTCTGTAGACAGGGAAGTGGGGAGAAGGGAGGGGGGGGGAGAGGGTGGATAAGAAAGAGAGAGGCAGCAATAAAAAGAGGGCAGGAGGAGAGCCCTTTCCCTTCCAGGCAGAGGAGCTGGCCCTGCGACTGTGCTGTAAGTGATACTTAATAAAATGTAACTCGGAGGCAGCTGACTAGCTCCTGAGCACAGGGGGTAAATAATTGAAGACATATTTGCAGGCTTTTCAGGAAGAGCTAGCAGCTGGGGTGTGTTCTGATGTTTATGAAGCCTGATGGATTATGCATGAGCCAGCGGCGGGCACCGCGGGAGACCCCTGCCCGGCTCTCCCTGCCACTCTGACTTGGGTTGTGCCGCCCAGTCGGCCGCTGCCTGGCCTGGAGCTCAGTGCACCTCACCTGGCTGCAGCCCCTGCAAGTGCTCATTCCCTCCTTCCCTGGCCAGGCTCCTTGAGCGGAGGCTTCAAGGCGGGCTCCAGGGCTTGGAAACCAGTGGTTTAGCTGCCCTAGACATTTGGTGTCCCTCCCCCAGCCTTCTAGCAGCCCACTCACCGACTACCCCCATGTTAGCCCCAGGTGCACTGTGCACGGCCTGAGTCCCCACTGCTGCTGTTGGACTGTGCTCCAGAGGGGAGCCTGCATCGTGCTTCCTGGCCCTGCCTGCCGGGATTTGGGATGCCAGGCGGCCACTGGCCTCGGAGGGAGCGTTCACACACCCCCTGTCCACGTTTCTTCTTTTAGACGGCAGTTTGCCGGCACACCCCAGCAGTCCTCAGTCCACGTCAGCACAGGCTGCCGCGGTGACAGCGCTCAGCATCGGCTGGGTCTGTCTCCTCCTGCCTTCTCACCTCTAGCCAGTGCTGTGCTTCCATCAACATGGCCCTGGGGAAGGACCCATCTGCCAACACACTCAGAGCCATAAAGTGCCCCAGTCTTGATGTGTTCAAAATAGAATTCAGGGAAATTATTGGCCTCATTTCTCTCCCAGTCGATGAATTTGCTATATTTACATATTTACTTAAAAAGTACCACTCTCTCACATGGTAGTGAAATCCAGCGAGCCACATTCCCCGGCCTTGTCAGCCTTTGGGTAAAGTGGGGTCCATCTTCAGGATCCCCTCTCCAGGAGGCTGACCGTCAATGCGACCGTCTTTGGAAATGGGCCTTCGGGAGGTAATCAGCATTCTGTATTATAGGTGGAGGGTCCCCATGGGGAGAAGTGTCCTTTGGGAAGGGAGGCTGAGCTGTGTGTACTCTGCCCTGCCCCTGCCCTCTCTCCCTGTCGTCACCCATCTGCAAACCTGGAGCAGAACCCTCACCAGGGAGTGACCATCTCAGAACTGTGAGGAGGGGATTCCTGTGGAGCACCGTCTGAGCTGTTCTGAGGCAGCAGAACGGGGACACCAGCACAGGGAGTGCAGGAAGGCCACTTGTGCAGGGCCTGCTACAGCAAGGGAGCCACCAGCACCACTGTCCAGCACTGGGCAGAGCCTCTGGGCGGGCAGAGGAGCGGGCCAGCCTCGGGGTGGGAGCAGGGCCCTGGCGTGCCCTGGTGGAGGTGGCCGGGAGGCTGTCGGTTCCCTGCCAAGTCCTGGCTGTGGTGGGCTGACGGCTGCAGGCTCTGGCTGGGTCCCGGCCAGGGTAGGTAGAGCTCCACTGAGCATCGTGGTCTAGCCGTTGTCCATTGTATGTCCAGTCCCTGGCCAGGCTCCCGTCTGTCCTTCTGTGATGACCATAGGACCCATGCCACATGCTGAGGAGGAGGGCTGGGGGGTCTGTCTGACAGTGTCCTCCTGGGCTCTCTTGGGGTTTTAAATTAGGGGCTTGCTGAAGGCAAAACTGTCCCTTTAACAAAACCATGGCTCCTGGAGCTGCTGGGCCAGGCAGGAGGGGAGGGCACGTCTCAGGCCAGTGGGACAAACACACCTTTGTGAACATGCTGGCCCAAGTCCCGGGAAGGCAGGAGTCGGGAGGGGGTCCCTGCCCTGGGCACTGAGGAGCCTGGGTGCTCTGGGGCCCCCGCAGCAGCCTGGTGGAACTTTTAAGGTAACAATATTTTCTGGGGGGAAGGCAGCAGAACAAAGGACTCCCAGGACATATAAAAAGGGCAGAACACCTCGCCTCTTGGGATTCCACGACACCAGCTATGGCCGCCTTCTCCCTGGCAGGAGAAGTCTGTTACCCTCTTTCAAATAAACCCCGCTTCATAAAAAAGTATTTTATGACTAATTTAAAATAAACAAAAAAAATAAAATAAAATAAAATAAAATAAACAAAAGACAGCGTTCAACAGTGGGACCCATATTCAGCTTGAACCCCCAGAGAGGGCCTGCCTGGGGGGTGTCAGGTCCCAGGTGGGGAGGCACAGTGGCCGCAGCTGTGGGTCCCGACAGGGGGTCTTCCCAGCGGGCACTGGAGGGGTTCCAGGTGGGGGACAGGGTGGGCTCTCAAGGTCCTGCCTGTCTCCTCACTCTGATCCCAAAGTTTTCCAAAGTGGGAAAATTCACCTTCTGATGTGAAACTGCGTCTCCTTTCCTGAGGGAAGTCCCCACCGAGGAAGATGGACAGAAAGGTGGACGGGTCAGGGCAGCCCCAGATGAGCTCCTAGACCTCCATGCCCCCGTTAGTTCTGGCTTTTTAAATGCCCCTGGGCTCTTGAGGAGCAATCCGGAGAGCCTGCCAGAGTCAGCTAAACTGGCGGGGGTGGCCTGACGGACCCGAGTCTCTGAGTGACGCATGGTGTCCCTGTCACCAATCCCAGCCTCCAGGCTGGGCCCTGTTTACACCAGACACTTGAATTAACCACAAAACCAATGGTGAATTTCCAACATGGAGCCCTTCTTGAGCTTTGCCGCATGCCGTGCTGTGGAGTCAGCGGAGAACCGGTGTGACTCGGCGTTTGGGGACAACCCACTTTCTCTGGCTGACTCGGGGCGTGAAAATGGTTGACCCTGTCCTCTGTGGCTCCGCTACGACGGCGGGTGCAGATCTCACTTGCCGCACGCCGGGCTCTCACGGTCAGTCTTGGGAGCCCATGAGTATTTAAAGGCATCTGGAGTTCTTGCCCACTTTCTAAGGTGACATGGTGGCAGAGAAGCAAGAAAAGAGCAATCCAAGTGGTAAAATAATGTTTTATTCCATGATGAACAGACGCTGCCATGCCACATCCCCACGTCCCTCCCTCCGGCCAGACCTGCGGCCATGCTGGTTTCCCCTCAGGACCTCCTGGGCTCAGCAGCCAGTCGCGCCTGCTGAGAGCACAGCACACCATGGGACTTTGGATCGGTCCTGCTGGTTGGCACGGTGGTCATCTACGCACATGGCAAAGTCCCACAATCAGACCTTCCAGGGATCTTACAAGGACTGACCTTCAAAGCTCTTGTGGGTGGAACCAGGACCCCCAACACCAAAAAGCAACATGGACACATCTCTGAGGACAGGACGTCTAGGGCACCCCAGCAGAACCGGAAGCTGGAAATCAGCACTGACATTTGGGCTGTCTGCAAGCTCAAAAGGAAATGATGGTGATTGATAGATTTCAAACTAAGACCTCTAGGGAGTCCAGACCAGCCAAGAGGTGTCTGCATGCAAGCTCAACACAAGGTCAGTGCTGCGGGGGGAGTCTGCACACACGCTGGACGGACACGCAGTCCTTTCTTTATATACAACAAAATGAAATGCACACTGGGAACAGCAGCCGCACGTCCGGCCAGAGTGGATCTCACGAGGCTGGCGGAGAACAGCAGGGACCTCACTGTCTGCGGGGGAGGGGAACAAGCCATCCCGGGTCGGAGGCAGGGCTGCCCGCCAGGGCTGCCGGAGCTTGCTCAACAGACCTGTGGGTGGGATCGACACTTTGCATGATTTTTAGCCAAATATCATCTGGAAAGACTTGACAACTTATCAAAGAGGAGGAGATGGGCTTAAGGACAGGTGTGCATGGACAACGTGGACCTACAGCCGGATCCTAACATGGCTCATTGGAAGGGGGGGTCTGTCTATTCCTCAGGGTTGGAAATGCCTCCACAGTCTGAAGACCACCCTGAGGACAGAGCGGTGACTTCATCCAAACAAGTGCCCAATGGAAAGCAAAACAAAGCAACAGGAAGAGACAGAGAAGGAAGAAAAAGCACAGGAAAACAACCCCACAAGCCCAGACCAGGGAGCGTCAGGCGAAAACCATAGAAAAATATGAGTTAATTCTATCAGGTTAACCATTACGTAGCTACAGTAAGACTTTGTACAGAAAAGGGTCTGTTTCCTTGGCGCAGTCCCGAGTGATGCCAACTCCTGGTTATAGAAACGAACAGGCCAGTGTGGACACATCCAGCCAAGACAAGGGGCTGTCCTGGCCGCCGTCCCCACTCCCACGGCACGGTCCAGTCACACAGGGCGCACTCCTGCCGCAAGCCGCAGCACGCTAGCGCGGGGGGTGGTCTTAATGCTACGACTGAAAGCTTGGACTTAGGGGCCGGTTTCCTGTGGGCTCAAAGTGGCCCTCACTGCCATCTGTCCGTTGCTGTGTCCCCTGGGGGAGGGGCCATGGGATGTGCCAGTCACGGTGGGGCCAGGAGGAGGCGATGCGGCCGAGCTGGGGGTTCCAGGTTGCGAGGGGACACATCTCCACTGGGGAGGGAGCTGGTCCCCAAGCCAAACTGCCTTAGGTACCCAGGAGGCATGCTGTGGGACCTCAACACCTCCGCCTGGCCCCCGGGGGGAGGAGGGCGGCAGGGGGATTCCTCAGTTGCATATTGTGGTAGAAAGAGCCACGTCTGTGCCGAGGGCTGGCACGCGGTCAGTCCTCCTCCTCGTCCTCTTTCGCTGCAGCGGCTGGTAGCTTGTCCTGGACCCTGAAGCATTCCACAAAGAAGTTGATGATGGACCTGTAGAGGTGCTGCTGGAGCGCAGCGCTGTGGAAGTAGTGGCTCTCGTCGGGGTATATCTGCAAGAAGCCCAGGAGGAGTTATCACCCTGGCCCACCCTCCCAGGGGACACAGGGACGCGCATGAGGAGACACACCCAGGAGCCCCCAGGCCTCCTACTGAATTCAGTTGGCACCATCGGTTCTGGAGGGTTTCAATGGCAAGCGCCATTCTCTCCTGGTACGGGCCGCTGCCAAGGGCCGCGGCGCGCAGCGGGAGTCAGTGTGCTAGAAAGCACCACATTCAACAGACTCAGCCCTCTAGGCCTCTTTTCTGAATCTGCGACCTGGACACATACTTGGGGTCTTCAGAGGCTGTATCCCGAATGGGGGTGAATCTGCGACCTGGACACATACTTGGGGTCTTCAGAGGCTGTATCCCGAATGGGGGTGCCAGGATTTTCATGAGAACGCTGCCCACGCCAGCCACCCTCTGAGGGGGGGAGGGTCCGGGAGGTGCCGAGCCGTTTCTGGCTGGCTACACGTGCACCTTGCCTGGGCCTCGCCTTCCAGGTGTGCAGGTGGGAGGGTGATTGTGACAGACTCTGCTGACACGGTGTGTGAGAAGTCGATGGGAGAACACCCGTCCAGCACCTAGAGGAGGTCTGGGATGTGGGAGGACTGGCCCGCGGGCTGGTCCTGCTGGGTCAGAGCCCATTATTCTACCCCCAGTGCAATGACACCGCCTGCCCCTGGGGGCGCTGTGCCGTCTGCCAGAAGTGGGTTCTCAGGGACCCCAGGCGGCTCTGTGTTTTGAATTCTCTTATGTCGCTGAGGGTGGCGTTCACCTTTACCTTATGATTTCATTAGGCTTGCATACTTAGGTCAAAATAGGGAGCTCACAAAAGGGAATGGAGGAGGAGGTCTGCCTCCTCTTCCTTCTCTCCCCTGACCCCACATGCTCCCCTAGAGCTGGTCAGGGCTAGGAACTCACTAAGTGTCTGTTAGGACACCGCTGTGCCTGCATGCGTGGCACAGGGGTCTCTTTGTGGGCACAGGTGGAGCGAGTGATGCACGCTCTTCAGCACCAGCCAGCTGGACTCAGCGCACCACCTTCTAACCCACGGTGGCTGCACCGTGCACGTGAAGTATCCACAGTACCACAACTATCATGTTCAGAGGGAAAGCTGACTGTAATACGACAAAATCCATCCGTCCCGTTCATCATTCATCATCTGGGGCCAAACTCCCTTGGACAGAAGCTCGCCTGACCCGCCAGCCACACATGGTAGTCAGAGCCAGGCAAGGGCACACTGAGGAAGACAGGGTGACCCGCCGAGTCCCCATGGATCTCTGAAGCCCCAGAGACCATCGGGTCCTACCTAGTATACCAAAGGAACCAGAGGGCAAGAAGGAAACGGGAGAAGTGTCCAGAGGCCACCCCGTGTGTTGCTGGAGGGAGCCCAGGCTTGGTGCTGGGTTAGTATTCAGAGCCAGTGAGGACGGACAGTGGGTTGGTCCCTGGGAGGTCGCAGCACTTGGTAACAGCCGCAGACGGTGCTGGGACTGCATGGCAAGTGTTGTGGCCATGTGTGGCACTGTCCAGAGGGATGCTGGCAAGAGCTAGGCCAACCCATGTCCCGATGCAGGAACACCCCACCGGCCATGCTGCTGGGTGGGGCGTGTGCTGGCTGGCCCTGCTCACTGCCCAGGGACGGCGTGTGTGCTGGCCTGTGTTCCTAAAGGATCTCGTCTGGCCTGAGACACTGTGGGGCTGAGCTACTGTCGCGAGGAGAAAAAGAAACCGTGTGCCAGTGTCTGAGAGGCTGTGCCCAGCCCACCGCCAATGTGCCCAGCACACACGAGTGCTGTGCGCCCCTCCGTTCTCTCCCCAGGAAGAGGACGTCCTGCTCCGAGAATGAAGCACAGCAGATGTGCACACTGTACCTGTAAGCTGTAATTAGCCTTTCCCTTAATGAGCTGTGTAATGAGCTCTGCTGTGTGCTGGAAGTGGATTTTTTCTGAAAGAGAAAGAAAAAGGAAGAGCAAAGTATTTGCCAACACCGTAACACCATCCGGGCGTCTCCACCAGCTGGGGCGAGGGTGCTGGTCCTCACCGTCCGCCGTGGCATGGATGAGCAGGAACTGCTGTTCCTCCAGCGCCGACACCCGGTGGGCCACCTTGGTCATCTGCACACATGGGAAGGGGACAGGTGAGGGGCTGCAGGGGAGAGTGGGCTGGGACGGGAAGGTGTCCGGGGAACACTAGGGGACTGGGGTGCTCTATTCACAGTGCCGCCCTGGAGCCCCAGCTCCCGTCCTCTGCTCAGACTTTTAGGGAGAGAAGGCAGTTGAGGAGAGGAAGGGAGAGAGAAAAAGGAGTTTCTTCAGTGGCAGATGGCCTCGGAGGGCCATCGTGTCATCTGGAGCCCCTGGAGAGGCCCTGCCCCCAGGCAGAGCGGAAGGGTGTCCTGTCTGAGAGCCACACCAAGTCCACTGGGTGCCCCAGGCCGTCAGTGGTACCAGAAGTACTTCCTGTGCCTGTCCACAGCCTGTCTTCCCAGAGGAGAAACAGCTCAGGAGCAGGGGCAGGAGCCACCCACACCTGTGTCCCAGTGGGTCAGGACAGGCCTCTTCCAGCCGGACCTCAGATCCTGTGCTGGGAACAGACCGCACTGGGAGAGGCCGCATTAACCCAGTACAGAGTGTGGTAGGATGAGCTGGGGTTCTCAGCCTGAGGGTCTTTTTATTTTTGGCACTGGGGATTGAATCCAGAGAGCTTTATCCCTGGACTGTATCCCCAGTCCCCTTCATTTTTTTTATTTTGAGACAGGTCTCACTGAGTTGCTGAGGCTGGACTTGAACTTGGATCTTCCTGCTTCAGCCCCTGGGTAGTTGGGATGATAGGCATTCTGCCACCATGCCCAGCTCAGCCTGGGCTTTGAGGGGCCAAGGCCCTGGCCCAGAGAGAGGGGCAGGCTGGAGATGGGGCCAGATAGAGGGGAGCAGAGAGTGGGGGAGAAGAGGTCGCCCCATTCCACCTGCCGCCCCATCTCCCCATGGCAATGTGCTTCAACCTACCTCGTACGCCCTGTTGTCCAGTCCGTGGAGGCCCAGGTACCGCTCAGAAAACGCAGACGCTGCATGGGGGCAGAGGAAGGGTCAGCTCCTGTGAGCCCAGACCCGCGGGATGGGCTGGGTGCAGGGACCCACCCACCGCACTTCATGGCAAAATGTTTGTTTTTAAACATCGTCTGGGCATCTTGGTGGTTGGGTGGGTGGTAAGAGAGTGCAGTGGTGTGTTCAAACGCAGGAGTGTTGCAAAACTGGAATTAGCAAACCTAACTAAGCTAGATCTTAGATCATCAGGAGTAGCCCCACTTCCTGTCCACACACAGGAACAGAAACACATGGCAAGAGAGCACATTCCTATCAGCATCCACTTATGTTGTTAACACATCTAGGCCCGTCCCTGCCTGATCCTAGTTCCAGGTCCAGGACCTACAGGGACCTGGCATTGGCCAGATGCCAACGTAGGTCAGTGCCTAGGCCAGGGCTGCTCTGCCAGGAGGAATTCTCCCCCCATCACGGGGTTCTGGGGAGTCCTTCATGAGTGGCAGAGACAGAGAATGGACTCCCCATCTCAGCACTGTGGCCATGGCTAAGTGCAGCCCTAGCATGCAGGAGGTCCTGGGCTGCGTGGCCAGCAAAACACGCACGCGCACACACACACACACACACACACACACACACACACA